TTCTGTTGTTGGTGATGTGTGTTGTTCCTCTGCTTTGTCACTATTGTTGGAAGTTTACCAATTTTGACTGTTTTAACACACTAACTTCTGGCTTCATTGGTCTCTATTTTTTTCCAGTTTCCATTTGTTTTGTTTGGTTTCGTTGAGCTAAGATCTGCCTGGGCTCCGGTAGGCTGGCCACAAATCCTGGGGCTCCGGCATCGTTTCTGTTTGTGCTTCCCAAGTAGTTGGGAGGACAGGAACGTACAATCCTACCTGGATCCATTCTCTATTCAATTGATTTCTCTTCTTCTTTATCTGCCTTATTTTTCCTGGTGGGATTTGGGCTCATTTTGCTCCCTGTTTTCTATTTTCAGAGGTGAAATTTGAGATAATTGATATGAGAATTTTATTCTTATATATCAGCATTTAATACTGTAAATTTCCTTCTAAGTACCTTAATGTTATCTCTCAACTTTGACAGACAGAATTTGCATTTTTGTTCCATTCAAATCTTTTCTAATTTTCTTTTTTTTTCCTAATTTTCCTGAGACTTCTTTGATCCCTGAATTCTTTTTTTTTTCCTTGTTTTTAATATATTTAGTACAGGGTCTACAGGGTCTCACCACACAGATTGGATTTGTAGTGACTCATCTGTTTTCAGCCTCCCAAGCACTGGGATTACAGATGTGTGCTACTACACCCAGTCTCAATCACCATCCTAGTGCGCCCAGAGGGCAAGGCCAGCTCAGTACACTGGGGCTCGAACCCTGGGCTCCTGTGTCTGCCTAAGCAGGTGCTTAATCCACTGAGCCATCTAGCTGGCTCTTGATCCATGAATTCTTTAGGAGTATGTTGTTTAACTTCCAACTGTTTGAAAGGCATCCCCATTATCTTTCTGTTTATTGATTTCTAGGTCGATTTCACTGCAGTGAGAAAACTCATTCTGTATGAATTCAGTTTTAAATTTGTCAAGAGTTGTTTTATGATCCTGAGATCATATGGTCTGTTTCAGTCAATGTTCAGTGAGTGTTGCAAAGCCTGTGATGTGTGGTTGTGGAGGGTGTCATGAACAAGTATAACTAGCTACTGATGCTGTGGGTCCATTCTTCCGTGTCCTTGTTAATGCCTGAGTACTTATTCTCCATGCTGCTGAGAGGGAGTCCTGAAGAGTCTTCTACTGTGATTATGGACTTCACGATTTTTCCTTTCCATCCAGTGAACCTTTGCTTCATGTATTTTGAAGTTCTAGCATTAGGTGCATATATATTTAGGATTGTTGCATCTTGGCAAATAAAATTTCTAATCACTGTGTAGTGACTCTTTATCCCTGGTATTTTCTTTGCCTTGAAGTCCTTTGGGTGCAATGAATATATATTCTCTCTCTCTAGAACTTTTAATAAAAAACTTGTTGTCGGTACTGGGGATTGAACCCAGGGCCTTCACAAGGAGCTATGTCTCTGGCCCATTTTTATTCTGATGCAATATCTTGCTAAGTTGCCCAGTCTGGGCTTGAACTTGTGGCCCTAGGATTTTTTAAATGATTGCATCTTGGTGTTTTGTTGTCCAGTTCTTAATACCGCCAAACAGTCAAAATGAAAATCCACACATTTGCTTTCTTCAATCTGATGGATAGGGAGCAGGGCTCCGAGTTCTAGGCCCTTCACAACTGGTACCCAGATTTCGGACCTGCAGCCACCGACCACATTCAAAGGAGTCTGGTTTTGAGGTTCGCAGCTCCAGCTCCAGTGGGAGTTTGAGCTGTGCGGGTGCGCCCGCACCTGCGTGTGCGCATGCTCGGGGTGGGGTCTTAGGTCTGCTGTTGGCTCAGGATCCTCTGCCGCCTCAGCCAGACAAATTCCCTGTATTTGAATGAGGCAAGAACCTGCGACTAATCACATAAACGTTTATTGTCAAATGACTGTATCAGAGGGGACACGAAGGACGATAAAGATGAGCAAGAGATAAGCAAGAGCCCTGTGAGGGCCGATGGAGCAGGGCGGTGGCCTCGTCCTGGGGGAAGAAGTTCCGCTGCCAGGCGGTCTCTTGTCCCAAGCTGGTTCTTCAAGGAGTCAGACACGGGGCGTTCAAAGCAGAAGCAGGTTCAGGACTGAGTGCCCAGCAGAGGCAGGACTAGCACCGGCTCGCTGCCAGGGGCTTCCTCCCGTTGCTCCCTTTTCTAAAGGAGGGGCAGGGCAAGACAGCTCTGAAGGGGAGAGAGGGGCGGGTTTTCTCCTCCAAGGCAGCTCGGTAGCCGGGGCGCAGCACCAGTTACGGGACACCTGATTTAATGACCCGGAAGACCTAGCACAGATGGAGGTCCCCCTGGCTCTGTGGAGTCTCACTGGGGCCCCTCGGTTGGGAATAGGGGCTCTCTGGCCTTGGGTAGAAAGACAAGCATGAGGCTACCTGGGATTCCCGAATGGGTCCCATTTTCTTCCTGAACTATTTCTCTTCTACTGCTGTCTCCTCTCAACAACCCTGCCACCCCAACACACACGGACTCACCTCTTCTATGGCAAATCTTCTCCAGCAGTACAGACATAGGGGAGCTAGAGATGCCAGAATCAGCAGGACCCAGATTCCCAAGAGCATGGACTGGAGGCTCACGAACAGGTTCTGGGGACAGAGGGGCGAGGTTATGGGCACCAGAGCAGCGGTCACTTTGGTGCCCTTTCCAACGCTCCTCACTGACACGGGACATTGTCCACGCCTCATCCCCCGGGCTGCGGCTTCTGCAGGGGGCCCACTGTGTCCAGTATGCAGAATACAGTGCCCTGTGCGCCTCTGCAGAGTGGGGTTGACTGGAGAGGATCCAGGCAGGGCACCTTGGTGCCACTCGCATCGAGGACCTCAGTGTTTGTCTTTCCCACCGGTCTCTGACATCTCAGCTGCAGGAGCAGCTTCTGCCTTGCTCATAGCTGCATCTTTGGGGACAGTCACCAGGCTACGTGAGTGTCAGGGGCACCTGTTGTGGTGCAGAGCTTTCCTCTCATCTGCCTAGCCTCGCTCCCACCGCTTGCCCTACCCCTTCCCCGGCCCACTGACCTTCAGCATGTTCACCTGGGAGATGCACAGCTGTAGCCGCTCCGATTCGGGGCTCACGGTGCTGGGGGCCCAGGTGGGCCAGCCGCTTGAGTAGTCTTTACAGAGGTAGTTACCATTCATATCATAACGGTACTCCTGGAAGTTACGAGATCCAATTGCAACGGCAGCGATGGCTGTGCAGAAAGCCGCCAAGGTGAGAAGGGTCCTCAGCAGGGCCTGGAGGGGAAGAGGCAGGAGCGGACCTTAGTGATTCAGTCTTTTCCACAGCCTGGACGTGGGCAAAGAGGGCAGTGCCTGGTGGTTTCCACATGTGACCCCCAGAACTCTCTCCCTGGCTTAGAACTCACCCAACAGATCCCACCCCGTTTGTCATAAACAAAGGCAGCAGCTCCAGCCAGCACAGCCTGGAGAGAGAGGAGACGGGGGCAGGGTTAGCAAGGAACCTCACGTCTCCTCCAGCCACCTGCCTCTGTTCCCCCTATGCCTCCTGCCAGCCACGAGCTGACTCTCCCCAGCAAGCTCTGGGTGTGTCCTGGTGTTTGTGCTTTGTTGTTTGTGGTAAAATAATTGTGGAGAGCTCTGAGCCTGCCTGAGTCCAGCCCTGGAGGCTGCAGGATGCTGTTTTAGAGGCCTCTGAAAGTGCTTGTGGCCGAGCTGGGTGTAAGCCTGCCCCGACTTCTCCAAAACCTTTTAAGGCAATATTGGGTGCTGCACGAAAGTGGCAGGGACTGGGGAGGGGGGATGGATCTGGTGTGAATCCCGGGCTGTTGGAGATGAATCTTTGGGCAGCCTGGGGCCCAGATATTGGTCCTAACAGCTCTCGGGCCTCCCAGCCAGGCTTGGGGGCATCTCAATGAGCAGATGGATGAGGATTTTGTCTGGGTCTGTAACTGATCTGGGCGTCTCTGGCAGGGGAGGCCCCAGCCCAGTTCCTTTGGTCTCCTCTTTCAATACTTGCTGCTCTGAGATGGTGAATGTGGTCAAGGGTCCCCCAGTCTCACCACAGACAGGATTTCATACATTCATCTCTGCTTCCACTGGATGCGCAGAAGACAAGGGGCGAACCGGAGGAGGCATTTCTTCTCTAGCTGGTTGTCATCCCAAGCGCCCCCGCCCTGCCCCGCAGACCTGGGCAGTGTCTGGTGCGGAGTGGGCTCTCAGATCCTTGGGTGGTGACTGCTGTGTTGATAGTGGGGAATGGTAGCCAGGCCAGGGTGGGGGGTGTGGGGAGCCCCAGCCAGAGGACTGACCCTGTGAGTCGGGACACGTCACCATCCGTGGCTGTCCTCTTATCTACATGAGCTAAGACGTGGCCCCCGTCATTAGCAGCTCTTTGCTAATGTTCTGCGGTACCACCCTGCTGGGTGTGATGTCCAGGAAACACTGAGGGCAACTTCCTGTCCCCTCCGACAGGACATGACGGCCCGCTGCCACACTCACCACCGCCCCAGTCCAGATGGCGGCTCCTGAGGCACACAGTGTGTGGCACCGGCAGATGTAGAGGAATCCTCCCAGGACCCCGCTCAGGAGCCCCAGCACGATCTGTACCACCTGAAAGATGCAGGAGCTAAGAGTAGGCCTGGGTGCCGGGGCACAGAGGAAGCCCTGGCCCCACTCCCCACCCCCTGGGGTGTTAGGGTGGCTCTGAGAAGCAGCTGCACCCTGGGTATACTGGTTAGAGCAGAGCAAGAGAAGAGGGATAGGGACAGGGACAGGGAGAACTATTTGGAATCTATTTGGAGAGGCTGGTGGAGAGTATGGCCTGAAAAGCAGCCTTCCCATGGCCAGACATGAGGATTGGGGTATCCCCCCAGCTCCACAAGGCAAGCGGCCCCCTTACCCAGGAGGCCACCAGCAGTCTGCTGCTGTCCGAGGTCTGGCTGGTGGCGCCGGTGGCTGTGGCCGGGAGCCGCAGCAGGGAACATCTGCTCAGCAGGATCTTGGCCAGCGCTGATTCCTTGTGGATATGCACGTTGATGAGGGAGGGCTGTGGGGCCTCGGAGGCTACCTCGGTGCTGTCTGCTGTTCCCATGTCCATGGATATCCCTCTGAGAGACACAAGAAAGACTAGGGAGGCCAGAAGGACAGATGTTCACCTGTCCCTGTCGGGGCTCCCCCACCACCCCATGTCTGCTGTGTGCTCCTTTTGGTCCTCTCAGGCCCTTTTGCCTATATGTGCTGCCCCTCCACCTCCATCACTGATCCTGAGTCTTCTTTCCAGAGCCCTGCGACCCTGGAACATGACCCCCTCCTGCAATACCCTGGCTGCTTGTTGAGCTTCTATTGGCAGTTGTGAGGGGCACAGGTATCCCCAGGAAAGAGGCTGCCTCACCTTCCTCCCCTGGAGCAGGGAGCTGAGCACAGCAGCAAGGTCTGCAGGAGTGAGGAGGAGGCGGGGGAGCAGTCTAGCCAGAGGAAGAAGCTGACAGCCAGAGCGAAGGGAGGCTCAAGGGTAATTGGACTTTTGCCCTTCCCGGAGAATGGCTGGGATGGAGGGGATCCTCTAGGGCTTTGCAGCCATGGGGGGCTGGGCCCTGAGGAGCCAGACAGGAATGGGGAGGCTGCACTGTGGGGGTGTCGGGCATACAATTGCCTGGCCAAGGCTTTCCTAGCAAGTGTGGTGAGTGTGTGTGGTTCCAGTGTATGTCATCTGAGTAGATGTGTGTGTGCGTGTGTGTGTGCACGTGTGCATGTGCACACTCATGAGCCGGCCTGATCATTTGCTCATCATGGAACCCCCCTAGCAGGGCCCCATGGTCCTAGCTGCTTGCTGGGAAGCACTGAGGCTGGGCCTCACCCTCTTGGCACCATCCCTCTGTTCTGCTCTCCTCCTCCAGCCTGGCAGTCCTCTGCTCCAGAGCGACACCTCGCAGCCCTGCTCTGCTCTGGCTCCTGAAGGACACAGGTGAGGCCGGGCCCCCACCCCAGGCAGGCCCTTCCCAGGAGGCTCTTGGGCTGTGGACCCTGCACCTGTCCCTTCAGCCCTGCCTGTGCAGAGCATCCTCTTCTTCTGCTCTGCTCTCTGTAGGACTCCAGGAAGGAGCACAGGGGGGTGCTGAGAAGACACCAAAACCAGTTTCTGGTGAGAAGCTGGCTCTGGCTCAGTACCCTGTCCAGCGAGGCTGGTGGACAGCATGAGGTTGAGCACAGAGGATGCGCCCTAGGAATGGAGGTGGCGCTGGGGGAGGCCTAGCCTGGCTTCTCAGGCCTCCCCTCTGTGTGGGGATGGGCGTGGCGCCTTTGGGACAGAGCCCTGAGGGAGCATGGCTATGGCTTGGGGACCGCAGGCTGCTCTTTCCACAGGTCCAGCAGGGGGAGGAAGGCCAAGGCAAGGACAGCAGGACTGGGCCTCCTCTTCCCAGGGAGAGTGGGGCTGGGACTCTGCTCCTGGCTGCACATCCTGCCCTTAGGAGCCACAGGGCGAGCCGAGGCCCAAAGTGCCCCAGAGGACCACACCTTCCAGAGGACTCCTGGGGCCCCCAAGGGAGAACGCAGAAAGTGGGGTGGAGGCCCCCTGGCTAGGCCCACTGAATCTGCATCTCCTGGTAGACTTGCCAAAAGCCTGACCTTTGGCCTCCATGGGATGGCAGGTGAAAGAGGGAGACTGCTCAGAGAGTTAGGCAGAGGGCAAGAGGGAAGTGCTGTTAGCGCTGCAGTCAATATTGGGGTTCAGCGGTGCTACTCAGGCAGAGGTATGCTGGGATTGGCTCTGTGGGGTGCGGGTTGGAGCCCACTGAGTTGGTTTTCAAGTGTACGAGGAGGAGTAATCTAGCAAAAAGGGCCGAGACAATTCTGGAAAAAAAAAAATACAAGGTAGTCAAGAAGCAGCCCAATTAGATATTAAATTCTGCACTAATTAAAATTGTGTCCGTGAGGCAGAGCTCAGCATAGACACAGCCACGGGCAGAACAGGAAGACTGGCGTGGGCTCGGCTCCCATGGGAGCTCCCTGTTTGCTCAGGAGAGCGTTTTAAATCAGTGAGAGAAGACCCCTGCCGCCACACATGGCAATGACCCTGCAGGAAGTCCCTCTGAACAGCAGCAGCAGCAGCAGCTTAGCTCTGTGTCTCCTGGAGTATGTCAGGAATTCCAGAGGGATGTTAAAAATGAAAACAGAAAGCATGAAACCACAGAGAAGAAAACGCGGCTGAACTGTTACAGTCTCCAAGCGGGGACGTCCTTTTAACATAGGAAGTAAAACCTGTCTAGTATAAACAAGAGAGAAGTTTCCTAAACATAAGCTATACTTTTTAGGATGAAAACTGTGCAAAAACACAAGGCAAGTCACAATATAAATTATAGTTGTAAAGAAATATTTGAAGCCATGTTAATATTTGATTACCACGTTAGTGGTAATTTTTTTTACTATGCAGAGTGCTTCTGTGGGGAACAAAATAAAACAGGAAACACAGAATAGGAAAGAAGAGCCTAAAAAGAAAAAAATAAAAATGGCTTTTAGCCTGTGAAATTCATCAGCGTCTTTCATGATAATGGGAACTATGAAATTATGAGACTGCTGATAATAATTGAAACTACTGCTCGAAACTATGCCGAGCTCATCACGGGAGGGAGATTAGTAATTGGCGACGGCCAGCTGCGAGGTTCGCCGTGGAGAGCCCTTTTGGAAATGTGTGAAACAGAGAAAAATTCTGTATCTTGATTGTAATTGTGATTGCATAAGGGTACAAATTTGTCAAAACTTATGGAGATAAACATTTCAAATGGAGCGTTTTATGGCATAAAATTGACTGAAATTGGTTAAATGTCTGTTAAGAGGGAATCAATCGCATAAATCATGGTAGATTCACGCACCGGACATGCTGCAGTTACACAACTGACTAAGGCAGGTTTGTGTGGACGGTGGTTGGGCTGGTTCTTGACACAGATGGTTCTGTGACCGCGACATTGTATAGAGCTCTGTGCAGCATGTGGGGTATGCCACCATTTGGGGGACAGAGCGTGGAGAAGAAATCTTTTGTAAGCAAAAATGTCATTGAAAAGTATGTCAGAAATGGATCATATTGGGGTCAGGGAGATGGCTCAGTGGAATAAGCGCTGCCCTGGCAAGCACAAAGGCCTGAGTTCAATCCCCGGTTCTGCAAAAAAATTAGGTGCTTTTGTTAAAAAAAAAAAAAAAAAAAAAGAAAGAAATCGATCAAATTGGTGTTTCTTTAAATTTTTCTGAATATTTTTGCTAGTGAGAAAATTATATGTAATACACACAGAGTCCACCAAAAATGTATGCACACTCGTGCAGTTTGCCATGGTACTAATCAATGTGGGGAAGCTGACAGCCACTGCTCTGAGCAGCTCTTTTCATTGTAGAGGCCAAAGATAACTTGCACTAATCTCATGAAGGCTTGATAAATTTAGTATTAAAATATTTATGCAAATTTTCCTTTTCCTGATGTATACTTTTATTTTTTTGGCAGACAGCAGGAATGAAAATAAATATTTACTAAAATAATCCAGGGATGGTAATAATAATAAGCTTGTCTTCTGGATGGTTAACAACCTAAGTTTGCAGACCAAAATTAGAGGAAAAGGAGGCCCGCAAGGAAAGCCAACATTTTGGCCCTAGCCTTTCAAGGTCACTTAGACTCAGGACATATGAGAACTTGTACTGTAATGTCATGTAACTCAGTAGTGTCCCAAATTTTCTGATCAAGGAGATTATGGGGCCAAAGAGGAAAGTGATCGATGATGTAGAGTGTGCCTAAGGAGAGTCACATGGAGAGAAAACATTCTCTGAGACTTTCACAGAGAGCACATTGGCCAAGCAATTGGCCGTGACTCATCCACATGGCTGCACTGACAAAGGTTCTACAGTCTGAGGTACAGGATCTCAGGATAAATCCTGAGGGGATTTCACTGACCTTATCAGACCCAAAAGCTACAACTCTTGTTGCATAGGTCCTACTTTACCTTGGTCTTAACCATCCAGCAGAAAAGTATAAAAATGAAATATAAAAGTAAAGCCATGGTGTTATGTTGAGCTGTAGGGGACTCAGGTTAACAATTTCTGACATTGCCAGTGAAGTGGAAAACCCAATACTATTATGGACCCTTGAACTGTTTTAGAACATTTAGCTGAGTTTACACACCTATAATATTTAAATGATGGAACTTAACAAAAAAAGGGGATACAGATGAATGTCCATTTGGTATCTGTGTATTCAAAGTGGTTAGGATAGATATGTAGTTACATTCTCTTAATGAATAGAAGGATTTGTTCTAATGATGTTTGTAAATAGGATAGCAAGTCCACATCTTGTACAGCAATTAACCACTAGGAAGAATGTGTGCATTGTGTTAATTATTGAAACTGTCCTACCAATTTGGTTTGAAACTGTCTCATTGCTATTTGTTTCTCAATAAAATTATGGAAAAAATTAAAATAAATAAATAAAAATTAAAAAATAAAATAAAATAAAATAATCCAGGGGCCGGAAAGATAGCTCAGCAGTCTAACGTGCCTACTTGGGCAAGCTTAGGCAGGCACAGGGACCACAGTCTGATTCCCAGCACCACATGCCATGCCAGCCCCGCCCCCAGGGTGGGCTGAGCTGGCCTCACACACACACACAAATTAATTAATTAATTAATTGATTAAAATAATTCAGGGGCTGGGGAGATAGCTCAGTGGAATAAGTACTTGCCTGGCAAGCGCAGGGTCTAGAATTTGATCCCTGGTATCACCAAAAAAAATGATAATAATTCAGATTCTTTTCTTTGTCCCACTCTGGACCCTAGACAAACTATATCATATCATTTTGGGAAGGCATCCAAGAGTTCATGTGGCAAAAAGCTCAGGATAGAATGTGGATTTGCATCCTGAATTAGGGTCATTGTTAACATTGACGTGTACACCAGGAAAACCCTTTGGACTGGGAAGGGAGAAGGATCCTTCCAGCTCTGCCCATCTGTTCCCCTGCAGGCAAGATGGCCCAAAACATGGTGACCGTGAATGGAGTCAGCGTGGCCTCCACCTCGTCCCAGCCCACTCACATCAACATCCACATCTACGAGGAGTCCGCGTTGACACAGCTGCTGAAGGCAGCAGGGTCGCTGAAGCAGTTTCTTTCTCGACCTAGGGACACCAGGCCTTCCAAAGCCAGGCCAAGCAATGAACAGCTGGCTCTAGGGGTAAGAGCGTGTGGGTGGTAGTGGTAGTGGGGAAGGTAACGAGGTGACACAGGGGAACCGTAATGAGGTGACACAGAGGGTGGAACCATAATGAAATGACACAGAGAGGGGAACCGTAATGAGGTGACACAGAGGGTGGAACCCTTTTTATTCATTTAAAAGAAATTTATGAGTTTTGAATCCTTATTAGTGCATGGTGGTTATGCTCCTTCTCTCCATCTCTTCATCACTTGGTTTCCTTCCTATTTGCAAAAGATCGACCTTCTGATTTCTTATCATCTTTTGTTTTGCTTCTTAATTTACTTAGACTTCGAGTTCCTCATGAAAGAGCAACCCCTTGATCAATATTGAAGCTCTGGTGTCTGATGTCTCGCCTAACATTATGGCCTCTAGGTGTTGGGTTTTCTGACAAATCTTCCTTTTCAACAGGACACACAAAGGAAAGGGGCTGAACCCTAAGAGGAGGGTCGTTCTGTGTGAGGAAGGGTTTTGGGACTTTGTCTGTGGAGGTTTGGCTGGGCCCATGCAGACTGAGGCTGCTGATGCAAGGCAACCCGCTAGGCCTTTCCGGTCAGACTACCCTGGAAAGTGTTCTGTTTCCACCCGGAAGGGTGACACAGAGTGAGTAGAGGCCGGATCAGCAAGCTTCCCAGCTGACACCCTGGTGGGCCGGAGTTGGTGTTGGAGACGACCCTGGTGAAGGAGTGGATTCAGGCCGACAGGGGTCGGGGAAGAAAGAGAAGGAACTGCAGGTTAAAGAAGCAAAGGCAAAAGTAGAGGAGGAAACTGCGGAAGACCCAATACTATTATGGGCTACTGGACTCTTTTAGAGTATTTTGCTGAATTAACACACCTATAATATTCAAATAACGGAACTAAACAAGAAAGGGGATACAGACGAATGTCCATTTTGTATCTGTGTATTCAAAATGGTTAGGGTAGATATATAGTTACATTCTCTTAATGAATAGAGGGATTTGTTCTAATGGTGTTTATAAATAGGATATCATGTCCGCATCTTGTACAGCAAATAACCACTAGGAAGAGAGTATGCAATGTGTTAGTTATTGAAACTGTCCTACCAATTTGGTTTTAAACTGTCTCATTGTTATTTGTTTCTCAATAAAATTATGGGAAAAAAAAAAGTAGAGGAGGAAAGGCAAAGAGGCAGGAGAGCCTCAGGCAAGTGCGTGCCTGCAGAGGGCGAGGGAATGCGCCAGCCCCGGCTGGGTGAGGAACCTCGCACAGAGTCTGTCCCAAGGCAGCACCTGTGGCAGGAGGGCTGTGCGCAGGCGTGCAGGAAGGAACCTGGGCTCCAGCTGCCTCAGGGCTGCAGGCATCCAGGTAGAAGTGTGAATGGTCTGCATTGTGTAGACAAGTGGGTCTGGGGTGTAAGAAAAGAGAGAAACCCAAGCACACATAGAGGGTTGGAGCGTGGACGATCAGGACGCAAGCCCCGGGAGACAGGAAAGGGGCCCTATGATGACGAAGCTCACGTGATATCCGGAAGCCTGTGCATAGGGCTGTCCAGGAGGCACCGAGTCGGAGTTAGGGGTGCAAATGGTTTACTGAGGGTCAACTTATGTGAGATGAAAAGAGGGGATAGGCAAAGGGTCCCTGCGAGGCTGTCCACTACCACAGCTCTGCAGTGGGAGGCGGTGGCCCTTGAGCCACAGTTTTGCTCCATCATTGGGTTGGGGACCATTACAGCTTTTGTCAGCTGAAAGCCAAGGTCCCCCTTGCTAGAAGCAGGTGGGGGACACCAGTGGCACATCTTTGTGTCTACTGCAGAGCCCTCACGATTACATATTTGTACTTGAAGAGATAAATCAGACCTGGAAGTGGAGGTAGATGCCAAGACTGGACAAAATGATGAGTTTCCGCAGGAAGGGTGAGGAGAAGCGGGGACGATCTATGTTTATCATGAAGTGTTTCCTGTAGAAAGAAGAACAAAAATAAACAGCAAAGCTGGTAAGCGGGATAGGGGGAGAGCCAGGCCAGCGCAGCTTAAAGGATAGTAAGGAAATGGAATCTTCTGGAATCCGAAGTGCAGGCAGATGCAAAGCCAAAGAGGTAGGAGCTAGGCTGCTGATTTTTCACCCCGTGTTGCAGGTGACACAGATCATGCTGGGGGTTGTGAGCTGTGCCCTGGGAGTGAGCCTCTCCTTTGGGCCCACAAGTGAGCTGCGTGGCTTGGGCTGTGCCTTCTGGGCCGGGGCTGTGGTGAGTAGGGGTTGTGCAGCGGGCTCAGTGGGAGGCAGAGGGTGACGGGCGAAGAGAAAGTTCCTGGGGGAAGCCACCGAAAACCCAGTGCCCGTGTGTCCTCTTTCCTTGAGGTAGCTGTCCTGGGGCTGGGACAGACTCTCTCCCATCTATGTCTTCTGTCAGGGCCAGGGAAGAAGGGGCAGTGGAACTGGACTTGGCGTACGTGAGGCTTCTGTGCTAGCCTCTTGAATCCTGCTTCCGATTAGCTCTCCCGGGAGCTTTGGGTGGAAGGGTGATGGGTGCTCTATCAGGAGAGCAAATCCAAAGCCCTGTTCGGTGTCTTCTCTCTCCAGGCAATTGCAGCAGGAGCAGGGGCCATTGCCCATCAGAAGCACCGGGGGCAACTTGCAGTGAGTCTCAGACAACTTCTCTCCCTGACCTTCTCTTCTACCCCTGGGTCCTCGGGATCCTCAGGCCTTTCCTGGAAGGTTCTGAGGGTTACCAGCCACAGGAGCTGGGGAAGGAGAGACAGATCTGTGGGCCGCACCCCTGCAGCTGTGCCCCTGACGATTGGAGCCTGTGTCTCAGATCGCTCTCTTCTAGGGCTGTGTGTCGGGTCTGCTCACGCTGGCTGGCGTCGCTGCCGCTGTGGCTGCTGTTGTTTTTTCTGTGAGGAGCATAATCTGGCAAACCGACGAGTTAAACTACTCAAAGTTCAACTCCGTGTGTGACAGCTTGGTCCCTGTCCCCACAACCACTAAGTACAGACAGAGAAATAGCTACTCAGACTGGAGGACAGAGAACTGCAGGAACTTTATGGAAATGACCCTGGTGAGAAAGAAGAACCCAGGCTTCCTGGGACCCTCACAGCTCTTTGCTCTGTGAAATGGAGGCCCTGGAGGGTAGAGGTGTAGGCTCTTTGCACTTGGACCGCCCTTGGAGATGTTAATTTCAACAGCAGGCACCTCTCAGATTGCAATAGCTTTTCCAGTGGCTGGGGGTTTTATTGGCAGGGCAATGAGGTGGGGGGCACCAATTGCATTTGAATAGGTAAGAAATGGAAGCTGCCAGGCCAGTTCAGGGCTGCCCCACCCCGCATGGCATCTCTTTATTGCCCATGCTGTATAGGCATGCACAGTGCAGGCAGAATCCAAGGAGCTGAGCCCAGATTGTATGTTTATCCATCTTTTCTCCCCAGAATCTCTTCTTGGCATTCTGTGTCCTGCTCATAGTGGTCTGTGTCCTGCACGTCACCCTATCTTTGGCTTCCGTGGGATTGCATGTTCGAAGCATGCGTGGCCAGAGCTCCCAGTTCCTGGTGAGTTGTCCAGAGGCATGTGGGTGAGTGTGTGTCTGAGAAGGGACAAACTGGGGGCAGCCTGGCGCCAGGAGCCCCTTCATTGGAAATTAAGCCCACCCCTCCAGGGGCGTGGCTCTTCCTTCACTGTGGTGGTGGGGGTCTGTGGTTCCATTGTGTGTCCTGCCTTGTGTCTCTCCACACCCTCCTTTCCTATTCCCTGCTGTCCCCTCCACTGTGTCCCAGATATCTGCCCAAGTCCCCTTTCTCTGTCACCGGCCCTTTTGCTGGCTCCCTATTTTGGAGTCTTTCCTTTCCCACCTCCTTTCCTCTCCTGGTTTCAGGCTCCGAGGCCAACTCCACCTCATTCTTTCTGTGTCACCACTGCTCCTCCCCTTTCCTCAGGATGAGGAAGAATCAGAGCAGAAGCTTCTGGGGGTGAATCCACAGTCCCTTCCCACGTCCAAGGAGGAGACCTTGACTGTCATCAACCTGTGAGCACCTGCACCTGGAGACCCTGCCACGGTTCCTGAGCGTTCCAGTCAGAGCAGCCCAGGGCCCATGACGATGATGGAAACTGTCCCCAGGAGTCCTCCTGGCCCTGCACCTCATGCTCGTCATTGCCATAGCCAATGACAGTCCTCCTCCTCCTCTCCCTGTGTCCTCACTCACCATCCCTCTCTAGTGCCCTCTGTTCCAAGAAGAGACATTGTCACATTTTCCATAATGCCAATTAAACAGAAAAAAATACAGGGGAGATAATTTTTGTCAGGAAGCTGTGTCTTCCTTCATTTACACAAGTCGTGTGCTGGGAATGGCCTGCCCTTGCATGGGGTGTGTGGCTTCCTTATCTTCTAGCATCTAGTGACCATAAACCACCAGTCAGGTAGGTAAACTCGAGCTCCAAACTACGGAAAATCCCCACCCCTAGCCTCAAGAAAGAAGTTGGAGGTGCAAAGCAATTTAGACAAGCTGAACCCCAGCATTTATTTTACCCCGGCAGTGGAGGAGTGGCTGCCCCTCATTCTCCGCTGAGTGGACAAATGCAGACATGGTTGAGCCCGGAAGCTAAGAGAGATAATGTGTGAAAAGACTGTATCCATCAGCTTTCCACTACTGTAACAAACACCAGACAGAATCCACTTGGAGAAAAGGTGGGCTTGGGCTCACGGCTTTAGAGGTTTCAGTCCCTGGTTTCTTGGCCTCATCCTTTTAAGGTCTTTATCTCAGCAGAAGCACACGGTGGGACAAGCCTCTTACTTAACGGCCAGGGAGCCTCTCCTCAGGTGCCACCTTCTATAGGTTCCACTGCTTACGGAGTTCCTTAAGCTCAGGGGCTGCTCCCGGGACCTGTGCACATAGAGAGGTCACTGTGGTGCATCCTGCGTTGCCCTGGGAGTCAGTGTCATGGGACCAGCGTGGAAATGCTGTCCTGTGGCTCCTGCCACTGCTAAGTAATAAGGGCTCTTCATTGACTCGGGGGTTTTGTGGCTTCTACCAGCATCTGTAAAGCAGTAGTAGGTCACCGTGTTGATCCTTCATTGTTCCTCTATCTGGCTCTAACAAGGTTTAGGACACAGAGATTTGAGGCATCAAGGAGTCACCATGAATTGCTGACCTCAAGGAGTTCACAGTCTGGCCAGGAGAAGAGGCACGAAGACGCTGTCTTAGGAGGAAAGCATGGGACTTGATGTCAGATTGGGGCGCAGCAGGCAGCAAGGCGGTCTGCTGACGGATGCTGAATAACAGCAGGATCAGAAGAGGAGAGGCTGTAAAGGAGCAGCCCTGGGCCGGCCAAGTAGCTCAGCAGGTTAAAGCACCTGCAGGCAGGTGAGGGGCCAGGGGCTGGATCCTCTGGCCTGCTGCGCTGGCCCTGCCCCGAGGCATGCTGAGACAGCAATTGAGACTGGGCGTGGTGGCGAGCACCTGTAATCCCAGCTCTTGGGAGGCTGTAAACAGGCAGATCACTATGAGTCCAATCTAGTAGTGAGACCCTGAACACCCTGTAGACCCTTCCCTAAAATACACACCACACACACACACACACACACACACACACACGAGAAGCCCTGATGGGAGGGAGGAGAACACAACTGTCTGCTCAAAATCCTTTCTCCATTTCTGGTTGAGCACTTTCCAGGATTCCTTTCATGGCTGGGACCATCTTCACCCCTTTCTTGGTCATAGGGCTGCTGTGCCTGGGGGCCCCTCTCCACCAGGTCCTGGGCCAGTGTCACATGGTATTGCTTGATCCTGCTGCCCCCCTCCATAAGTGCCCTTCACCATGTCCTGGAAATCAGTACTCCAGTTAGGAGGCACCCCCACACCGTCCACACAGGCTGGTATGAGGCGGTCTCTTCCACTATGATCTCTAGAGCTTCCAGTAGAACCTCTACCATCCTGGGCTTTTCTGGTATAATTTCTAGGAAATCTCAGGCATTTCCAGGATCATTCCTTTGGGTGCTCAGACACTAACAGCATAAGAAGAGTGGCCTCTGGTAGCTTCAGCCTAAGATTTAAGCCAAACCATCAGGGTCCCCCAAGGGTCAATCAAGGGTCCAACTACTTGGTCAGAAAAAGAAGAGGCATGCTTGAGAAGCAGAAATCAGTACTATCAATGTTCCTACTGCATTGGTGCTGGTGGTTGAGTTCCCCAGTCTTCCTGGAGCAGGCTCCTCCCTCTCTGACCCAAGACCTTGTCCTGCCTATTTCCATTTTAGAGTAGATGACTTTGCTACTGCAGAGGGGCTCAGGAAGAGCTACCTCATTTCAAATTGGGCACATTTGGTCCTTGGGGCACCTCCGGGGCAGGAGAGGGAGGAAGGGTGATGGTGGGCAAGAAGGATGAAGATGTGCTAGAGCCGCCCACTGTCTCTGCAGTCATGAGGCCTGTTGGGGGTAGGGAGGAGGAGTCTCCTGGGAGGTCACGTGCAACTGAAGGATGGCACAATGCCGACCCATTGGCACCATCAGAACAGGTGGTGGTGGGGAATGAAGATATCATAGATCTTTTGGACCATAATCCTTTGTTTCTTCATGGGTTGAGACTGTCTTGTGCCCAGCCTCATGGATGGTGTTAATATATATCCACGCAATGAACAAATGGAATTTTTTTTGTCTTTGGTGGGTAGGGGAGAGGGTAAGGGCTAATTTTCTTTTCACTTTTAAATTCTGTAGAAGATCAATTCTGGTGGTCCCAATTGTTGCTGTTCACAGCGTGGCTAATTGGCTTGTCACATTGGTTTGTCATGGAAAATGTCAGGAGCTGGCTGGAGAGAAAAAGTGTCCACCCCAAGTCAGCCAGGCCAAGTAGAATTTGATTGTCCTCAGACCCCAGGTATATGCTTAGGAATTTGTAAAAGGCCCTGGTATGCACTCTGGATGGCCTGCAGGGGAGAATGAAGCTCAGACATGGAATTAGACATTTTGAGATTCACCTCTATTTTATTATTATTCCTGTTAACAATTTGCTTTTAGCAAGGAATGTCAGTGAAGCAAAACACAAGAAGGGCTGAGCCTGGGCGCTGGTCAGGAGGCTTTGCTCCTAATGGTGTTAATTTCTTTGGCAGCATTTCTACAGCCATCAGGTCAGAGAGACGTTCTTTTCTTCATCATTCTGGCCAATGAGTGTCAGTTTTGTTTTGGTGGTTGTTTTGCATGAAGTGGTCTATGTCAGATTCCAGCAACTTCCATTCTTGCCCTGTGACGTTCTCTTTCCAACCTCTCCCAGCCCAAGTCCTCCGAGTCTGTCTCCGCAGCTCCCTCCCTTTGTGTGGAGCCTAGAAACCTCCTCTGAGTCTTTTTCTCATCAAGGGACGTTGCCACCCCACCCTTACTTCTGTTTACTTCTGGTAGCCAACTATTTGGCTGTTTGCACAGTTCCATCTTGGTGGCGAAACTGTATCCACCGATGGAAATGGCTTCATATCACTTTGTGCAAATAATCACCAGCTTGTGTAGGCGTCTTGCATTTGTCTAAGGATTTAAGACCATTTGGAGCATAAACAGGAAATACTTGGGTTTTCCCTCTCCTAATCGCTGCTTTTAACTCTGTGTTGTCCATTTACGTTCCTTTCACAGCAGGGCCAGATTCTGGGTTCTGTAACTGGTCCCTCGGTGGCCTCCCATTTGGTGCTGTAGGCCCAATCCTGTTCACTTAAAAGCTGCAGCTATCAGAGCTTGTCTCTGTCCCCTACCCCGGTAGATCTGCTGCTCGGACTAGAGGAGGACAGGAAGGAATGTTGGTGGGCTCGGCTTTTTCCTCCCCATCCTGCCCCACTGTCTTCCTTCTCCACTACAGCGGGGACAAGGAGGAGAGCAGGGCAAGGTCGTAGGACTGGGGTGGAGTGGGGCTGGCGCTCCCGGCGCGCCTGCACCCAGCTCCTGTCTGTGGTCATCATCTACATGCTGTGGGGATGGGCACTTCCGCGCCTGTTGCTGAGCCTGGGAAGCACATGGGAATGTCTCTCCCCTCCCCGTGTTATCTGCCTGGGCCAATCAGGAGAACTGGAAAGACACACAGTACACCCAGAGGAGAGAAACACCAAGTGCCGGGGAAGGGAGAGCTCTGTTGTGGCAGGACACGTGTGTGGTGGGTAAAGCTCCTCTCCTCTAACTCTGAAGAGACAATTCCAGAACCTGAGATCCAAAGAAATGCTCGCAGGAAAACTGCATCTAAGTTTTAGGAAAACTGAAACTTTTACCCAAAAATGTTCACCTGAACTAGGAATATTAACTGCCAAAGAGGCATTTTGGGGGGCAATCTCCTTAACTTATGTGACAGAAATCCAGTATTTTCTCTCTGTCTCTGTCTCTGTCTCTGTCTCTTTCTCTCTCTGTCTCTCTCTCTCTCTCTGTGTGTCTGTCTCTGTGTCTGTCTCTCTGTCTCTGACTCTACCTCTCTCTCTCTGTCTCTCTCTGTCTCTGTCTCTGTCTCTCTGTCTCTCTCTGTCTCTGTCTCTGTCTCTCTGTCTCTCTCTGTCTCTGTCTCTACCTCTCTCTCTCTGTCTCTCTGTCTCTCTGTCTCTCTCTGTCTCTGTCTCTCTCTGTGTCTGTCTCTCTCTGTCTCTCCCCCACACCACCTCCTGACTTCCTTGTCTTTCTTAGGTAAAGATCTCAGAGAAACACACAAGAAATCACCCCAAACCTTGGAATCACCCTGATTTGTTCTTTTCAGATGACCTACAGAAGAGCTGACCATTTAATAATAAGTTCTTCACCCAGAGGTCTTTAAATCTATCTTTTTCTTTTTTTGACAAGTGCTGTACTGAGCATGCTTAGGAACGCGCCGCCTTTGCGTGCAGCGAGGTCTCACTTATATGAACGTGGACGCGCCCGAGAGCAGACCCTCCTTTCTGCGCTCAGGGAGACTCTACTTTGCGCATTAGCTCCCGCGCTGTCTTTGCTTGCTGTAAGTAAAATCTGTCGTCACTTTGCCTTTCTCGGTCGTGCCTGTTGGCTTTGTGCTCACTGGTGCCCCAGTCCTCTCATGTCTGCTAACAGGAAGAAGACATAACAACTGCTCCTTGGCAGGCTGCGGCTCAGAGCACAGCGCCTCGGCCTTGAACGCGTCCTCTGCGGCCCCCGTAGCTGGCTCGAGACAGCTTCAGCGCGCGGCGCCGGGTCCAGCTGCGCAGTGCCTTCTGGGAACACCGTAAGGTATCGCTCAGCCGCTTTCGATGTCTTTCACGGCAAATCTCATCTTCTCTCTGGTTGCTTTTGTGATCTTTCCTTTGACTTCGGTATTT